GGTGAACTTGTCTCCGTCCATTTCGGTTAATTTGCAATGCAAATTTTCAAACGCCAATACCTATTCATTTTGGAAAAAACATCAAATTTGAAACAATTTTAGATTTGTTCGAATTCATACGGCCAATGAAACCGTCGCAAGCTGCCCGAATGTTGCTCTGCGGCCCATTCCCGGCGAAGTGCTTGCTTGAGATGATCGATACTTTGGTATTTTTTAGTCCCAACCTTGCTTTCGAAAATATTCCAGACACAATAATCCAACGGATTGGTATCCGGAGATTTTGGTGTCCATTGTGAGCTGGAAATGAAGCGAGGAACCTCATTTTGTAACCATTATAGGGTGGCGCTTGCTGAGTCGTGTTGGAATGTCCAAGGTATGCGGCCAAAATTTTTGCGTGCCCAAGGCTTTTATACACCCTCCAGAATATTTTCGCGATAATATTCGGTATTTAGTCTGATGCCACGGTCGACTAAAACGAGCAGAGAGAGAGACCACCGGCAGTTATGGCGGCCCACACCATCACCATGGCCGGCGCTTGAGTTCTGGTGGTCAACCGAATGTGCACACTTTCAGCTAACGACACACGATCATGTTGTTTGTTTACAAACTGCTGGACAACGAATGTTTTCTCATCGGAGACGGATAAAACCAAATTCGGCAGTTCACCACTTTCGGCCAAGCAAAGCAACTCTTTAGCTCTTTTGAGTCTATTTTCTTTCTGTTGCAGTTTAAGCTCTTGCACTTTTTGGAATTTCAACGGCTTTACCCCGAGCTCATTTTTCATTATTTGCCGAATGGAATTTTGGCCACTTCGACGCGGGTTTCGATCAAGTCGCTTCTGTACTTCTCGAACCATTTCTGCTGATGTAGCTGTTTTCTTCCGTCCACTTCCTTGACGTCGGGCTACGCTACCAGTATCACGGTAATGAGCGATGGTACGAGACACAAAAAATTTATTCACATTTAAATGCTGGAGTGCTCTAACGATAGCCATTTAGGGTTTTCCAGCCAAAAATAAAGAAATCACACTGTCCCGCTTGAATTCCATCACGAATAATTTTTTTTCTGGAAAATTCTCACCAAAATGCTTTTGTACGCTTGTAAATAATATAATGAGCTGTCACTGGAATAATTTTAACAGCTGTCGAACGAGAGGCTTTGAAATGACAGCAGTGTGAAGTTGGTTGCAGTTTTTTCATCTCACCCTGCATATATTTTGTGCTTGAAAACATCCAACCCAATATACCACCATTTTTATATGTATGTTTATTTATTTTTGAAAAACAACAATTGTTTTTGTTTTAATAAAAAAAATCCAAACAATAGAATGCGTATGTATGCGTATGCATATAAATCTACTATACATATTTACATACTAAGCTACTACATCACACTATACATATATATACACATATATGCTACGAAAAAGTCGAAGGGTTAATTTAAAAGTAACAACATATACACCACTCATTTGTTTTGAGAATAACATTGAACTGTAGTATATTTAATTTTTTAAATAATTGTTTTTATTGATAACGCCACAAATGTCCACTGGTGACATTCATGTATTTAGGAATTTCCACAGCAAAATTTATTAGGGCATACCAAGAATGAAGCATATATTGTGTTTCTTATCATTAAATATTTTTTATAATACACTGTGCAACAGAAATAAAAAAATATTACGGAAAAAGTTGAAAGATTTGAAAGTAACCCTAATAGAGAGAGAGCAGGTTTCGACTTTTCTATATTTTGTAAAATTTTTGGATTAAGATTTCTGGAAATTTATGCATTTTAATTAGATAAAGTCTTCGGCATTTTTACAGATAACAATACGAGGATTGTTTTGGTCATTGATGTTAACCCCTGAGCGAGTCACGGAAGGGGTTTTTGGTCCCTTTTCCATAATATGTTTAAAGCCTTTCCTTAAATAGAATCTAGCAACTCAACATATTCTACAAATGTTACTTCGCTATTTTTATACCCTCCACCATACATAATATCGTGAGTATATAAAGTTCGTAATTCCGTATGTAACTCATACAAATAATAATTTTAGACATAACAGAGCATACATATTCTTTATCAGCGTAATATTCTAAGGCGATTTAGCAGTCCGTCGGTCTGTTGTAATCACGCTGGAGTCAAAACGAATTGCGACAGGAAGTTAAAATTCGGCACAGATCAACCTTTTGTCTGCAGGTCAACTTTGATGATGGGCTACATCATATAGCCACCATAAAATGGTACCCCCGATATTCGGTATTTTAATGATTGTAGCCAAATTTTTCTATAGAATTGTCTGAAAATCCACACAGGGAGTTCCCACTGTGTAGTTTACCTACTGGATGTGTATTGACTATCCATATAGTTCTACGATGATTATACCCTACAACACTATGTGTTGGGGGTATTATAAGTTTGATTGGGACAAAAATTATGGAACACCTCGAAATATTGATTTCCCACATAGGAAAGTATATATGGATCTTCCTATCTCGCCGAGTTGAGTCGATCTATGTATGTCCGTCCGTCCGTCTGTCCGTCTGTCCATGTTAATTTGTAATCACTCTACAGGTCGCAATTATGGTCCGATCTTCACGAAATTTAGAATGGAGGTGGGGCTAGGGTCAGAATAGAACCCTATTTCTTCTTCACCGCCCTAAACTCTAGCTACATCCGAACTTCCGCGTCGATTGGTCTATAATTGCGACCTGTATAGCTACTGTAAAATCCGATATTTTTTCAGTATTTGGTCCATTTCAACACCTAAACATTTGGAGATGATCGCTGATGGTTTTCTTTTATTATTTGTCACAATATCTTCTGGAATTTGTTCGAGTATCTCGCCTATATAAACCTTATTGTTTATTATAGTGTTGTAGGGTATTCAACGGTCGGCCCCGCTCGACTGTAGCCTTTGCTTACTTGTTTTAGCTACATTATTCACCGGAATTGTTTCAAATTTCTTATTTGAAGTTCCCAATGGGTACTACAGCCGGTGACAGAAAATTTTCTATGCAGGTACAGTTCTTCGTATAGCCTCCATACAGTACCTCCCTATACTCGGTATTTTGACGATTTTAGCTACATTATTCACCGAATTTGTTTCAATATTGTAATGACCTATGATAAAAGTTACCTATGCTTGATTACGTCTTCGTTTAGACCCCAATATAACAGCGACTTCCTATACTCGATATTTTCTAGTTTTTACCAAATTTGTTTTTCGAATTTTATTTATTTTTGATAATTTCCAAATGCCTTGCAAATGGTGGAAGGTGTTCAAAGTTCGGCCTGGCCGAACTTAAAGCTTTTTATTTTTTTTTATACCATCAACCATATGGTTAGAGAGGGTATATACCAAAACGAGCCTCATAAAAATAACGGTTTTAGACCCTAGGTCTCTTTGGATCAAATACGTTTCAGGACATTTAGAGTCTATCTAGCAATGTCGGTCCGTCCGTCCGTCTGTCTGTCCACTGGCTGGTATGCATGATAACTTCCGAAGGGACTATCCGATTAGGTCGAAACTTGGTACATCGTAATATTATTAACAAGCTTAGATCGATTTCGGAGATGGCCAATATGAAGCGAGGAACCTCATTTTGTTACCATTCTTGGGCGTCCTGAGTGTGATGAGTCCTGTTGGAATGTCCAAGGTATGTGGTCAAAATGTCTGCGCGCCCAAGCCTTTAATACACCCTCCAGAATATTTTCGCGATAATATTTGCCATTTATTCTAATGTCACGGTCGACTTATACGAGCAGGGAACAACTATCGGCTGTTATGGCGGCCCACACCATCACCATGGCCGGCGCTTGAGTTCTGGTGGCCAACCGAAGGTGCACATTTTCAGCTGACCTATTTGGCAAGCTGGACAACGAATGTTTTCTCATCGGAGAAAACCAAATACGGCAGATCATCACTTTCGGTCAAGCGAAGCAAGTCTTTAGCTCTTTTGAGTCTATTTTCTTGCTGTTGCGGTTTAAGTTCTTGCACATTTTGGAAATTCAATGGCTTTACCCTGAGCTCATTTTTCAATATTTGCCGAATAGAATATTGCGATATGTTCAGCAAACGAGCCATTTTTCGGCCACTGCGACGCGGGTTTCTATTAAATCGCTTCTTTACTTTTCGAACCATTTCTGCTGATGTTGCTGTTTTCTTCCGCCCAGTTCCTTGACGCCGGGCTACGCTACCGAGCGATTGTACGAGACACAAAAGATTTATTCACATTTAAATGCTGGACTGCTCTAACGATATCCACTTGTGGTTCTCCAGCCAAATATAAGGAAATCACACTATCACCCTTGAATTCTTACCAAAATGCTTTTGTACGATTGTAAATAATATAATGAGTTGTAACTGGAATAATCTTAACAGCTGCCGGACGAGTGGCTTAGAAATGACAGCAGTCTGAAGTTGGTTGCAGTTTCTTCATCTCACCGGTCCACTCTTTCTGGTACCTCCCCCCACAAAGGGTCAAAATTTTGAATATCTATGAAGATCATAAAACTCGAAATTATCATCCGATTCTATTCAGACTTGAAACAACTCAATATTTCCATCAACACAAGATTTGCTATAAAGATTGAAGAGAGCGGATCATTTCTTCTGGTACCTTCCCAAAACCAAACTCTCAAAGTAAGCAAAATAAGCATCCAACTCTCTTTGTAAGTAGATTGTTTGCAGTTGAACATTTGATTGATTTGAAATTTTGTCGCAAAGTATAATCTTTGGAGCTTTTCTTGTGGCGATGTTCTGCCTCTGCCTCTGTGTTGTTCTTAAACATATAAACATTTTTGTCAGTCAACTCCAAGTAAAATTGTGTATGGAGAAATACTTAAGCATGACACCGACAATAAACCGAAGAATCGTGTAGGGTGCTTACATTTATACCTCGAAATTATTTCTAATTTTATTTTGCGGGCAGTTGTTGTTGTTTTTCGTGAATTCTTTCTGTGTTCGTGTGCTTTATTTCTGTTCCAATTCTCAGAGAAATCAATCGCAATCTAGTGGACTATAGTTTTCTTTTCGCCACCATTTGTTTTCATTCTTTGGTCATGTTTTCGTGTGTAAAGTAATAATATTCGCGGGAAACGATAAAGAAAAAACTCTTCTGCAAATAAAATGAAGCTAATATTTAAACTGTCGATTCTTGTAATTCTAACGGGACTGCTTAAATGTGAAAATCTAGATTTAAATCTCGCTCCACCAAAATGCCCCTATAGAGATACGGTTGATTTGAGTGATGTGACACCTTTTGAAAATGGTTCCTATTTATATGAAAATGTCTTAATACCCAGTGCAGAGGTATACGAATATAATTATCGTTTAGCATTTCGAAATATCGAAGAAGAAGCCGAAACGCATTTGCGTGGCTGTGTGTGTGGCAAACCGAAGAAGTGCATAAAATTATGTTGTAAACATGGTGATTATTTCAATGAATTAACTGGGGAATGTGAATCGATTCCCGAAGATATGAATATACCAATTTATTTGAATGTAACATCGGCGGAGGATGAAGTGAACCTTGTCAATTTGTATCGGGAATTTGTTCCGTTGGTCGGTAAACCATGTTGGAATTTGGAGAGTCTAACATTGGACACGGATATGTGGACTTTAAATGAGGTAGGTGTACTGAGGGAGGAGTTAAGATTTTGGTTAAAAATTATGAAAAAGATTTTGAAGTCTTCGAGAATAGAGATCAATTTGAAGGAGGATATTATATATTTTCACATTTGCCTAAAGTTTGATTCATATTTACTATGTGCCAAGATTGAAGCAAATTGTAGGCAATTAAGAGCGGATCAAAGTTACATCTGAATTGATTTGGGAAAACCACTTGATCGAATTTGTTTAATATTTGTTTCAGAGTTTGGTATTTGTACCCCGATTACGGGAACGTATTTATTTCTTGGGATTAGACCCGGATACTCGGACATTTGACCGGAAAATATGGGTCCAAGACCCGTTTTCGACCTGCATATTCTAAACCGATGTAAAAAATAAAGGATTTTTTATGGTTAGATATTTTCAAAAGATATCCAATATTATTCTATATTCGTTTCTAGTCAGAGTCTTGAACTAGGACTTTCGGGTTAAATATAATGGTATGCAGGTCCTTCCGGCAGGAAAAAAAATACCTTTCCTCAATCAGAATACAAAAAGCTTCAAAAACAAAAATCCAAGAGTTTCTATTAAATTAGTTACCGTTATATATTTTCAAGCATAATTATACCGCATTGTTATCAGTAATATTGCCAAAGACAGTATTTACCTAAAATATAAGGATATCAAGAAATCTTAATCTGAATAGTTCTAAAAATGTGGAAAAGGTAGCAGATTTCCCCTTACACTTAGGTTATTTTGGAATGTTAGAAGTTGAGCGATCTGGCGGGCCAGAGAGTTTATTCACTTGATACATTTTATGTAAAACAAGCAAAAAAGCAGAAAGTTCGGCCCGACATATGGTGGAGGGCCACCACATGGAAAGAATTTTCAAATTAAAAAAAAAAAAAAACAAGTTAAAAAGCAGTAAGTTCGGCCAGGCCGAACTTTTAATACCCTCCACCATTTGCAACGAATTTGTAAATTTTTAAAAAATAAAATCCTAAAAAAATTCTGTTAAAATTTTAAAAATACCGAATATAGCCGTTATATTGGGGTCTATACGACGTGGACATACATAGGCATTGTTTGTCATAAGCCATTAAGCAAATTCGAAACTTGAAATAAACGGTGAATAATGTAGCTAAAATCATCAAAATATCGTATATAAGGAGGTGCCGTTAAATTGGAGCTGTGCGAAGACCTGGACCAGCATAGACAATTTTCTGTCACAGGCTGTAGCATCCATTACGAACTTCAAATACCACATCTCAAACTATTTCGGTGGGTATTGTACCTAAAATCGTCAAAATACCGAACATAGGGAGGTACTGATATATGGGGCCTATACGAAGACCTGGACCCGCACAGACAATTTTCTGTCACAGACTGTAGTTCCCATAACGAACTTCAAATACCAATTTTGAAACAATTCCGGTGAATAATGTCGCTAAAATCATAAAAATACCGAATATAGGGAGGTACCGTTATATGGGGGCTATACGAAGACGTGGACCTGCACAGACAATTTTCTGTCTTAGGGTGTAGTATCCATTTTGAACTTCAAATACCAAATTTGAAACAATTCCCGTGAATAATGTCGCTAAAATCATAAAAATACCGAATATCGGGAGGTACCGTTATATGGGGGCTATATGAAAACGTGGACCTACATGGCCCATTTACGAACTTAACCTGTCTACTGGAAAAATATACTTGTGTGCAAAATTGCTATACTTGAAAAAATTCCGTCTAATAATTTCTCTAGAATCATCAAAATAATGAATGACCATGGACGGTACCCATTAGGAACTTCCAATTCTGCCTTTGAAATATTTCCGCTAAAAAAGTGTGACAAAAATCAGATATGGTGCTACACCAAAACGTTGACCTATATAGCCCATTTTCAAAGTTCTGCAGACATAAAACACATTTAAGTAAAATTTTATTAACCTACTTAACTTCGGTCGGAAGCTAGAGTGATTTCGACATAGATCAAGAAAGCATTGAAGGTTAGATGGGCTTCGAAAAATAATCAATAAAAATTGATGAAATTGAGGTCAGATGGGCTGTGAAAACCATTTAAAAAAATCCGCTGAAAACTACTCCCTATAAAATTTGTGATTTAAGATGAGATGGATTTTGAAAATTATTTACAAAAATGCACTATTTTAAAATTAGAACTCTCCAATGTATCTCAAAATTAATAAATTTCTAATATCTGTTGTTGTTGTGTATTGTTGACCTGTTATATTTTTATACCCTACACCACAAGGTGGTCAGAGTATTATGTCTTTGTGCATTTGTTTGTAACAGGCAAAAGGAAACGAGATAGACCCATAGTTCCTTTTGATGATCTGCATAGAATCACTTTCTGAGTTGATTTATGCATGTCAGTCCGTCTGTCCGTCCGTCCGTCTGTCCATGTATTCTTGTGAACAAAATGCAGGTCGCATTTATCATCCGATTGAGATGAAATTTTCCAAACAACATTTGTTTTGCCCCAACGTGTAATATCAGCCCGAATAGTATGGAATTTTGCACATACAACCAAATTAGGCTTGAAAATATGTATGCCAAATTGTATCGAAATCGGTTCAGATATAGCTATAGCTCCCATATATATTGTTCATCCGATTTGTTATTTTTGTCCACCGCCGCCGTAATATGCATTCTACAACAACAATATTTGGGGAAATATATCAAATACAGCTCAGAAATACATTTGCTAAGTTTTATCGAGATCGGTTCAGATTTGGATATAGCTCCCATATATAACTTCGTCCGATTTACTTTTTATTGTGCACCAAACGTCTAATATTTGTCCAAATGGGATGGAATTTGGCACTTATGACCGAACTGAGTCTAGAAGCTAGTATGTCAAATTTGGTGAAGATCGGTTCAGATATAGCTATAGCTTCCATAGATATTATTCATCCGATTTTTATATTTGTTACCCACAACCGTAATATGCACTCCGTAACAACACTATTCACGGAAAAATATTAAATACAGCTCAGAAATATCTTTGCCAAATTTTATCGAGATCTGTTCAGATTTGGATATAGCTCCCATATATATCTTTATCCGATTTCAAATTAATTGTGCACCAAATGGGCAATACAATTCCGAATTTAAAAGATACAAATGCTTCGGCATATTTAGTCCTTTGAACTTTAAATTATAATCATAGGGTGTATGATTGAATTCTCCAATAAAAACTTTTAATTGTTATGTGGAGCTCTACTTAATTAGCAAAGTGGTGTAGGGTATCATAAAGTCGGCCCCGCCCGACTTTAAGACTTTCTTTACTGGTTTAAAATTAGAACTCTCCAATGTATCTCAAGATTAATAAATTTCTAATATCTGTTGTTGTTGTGTATTGTTGACCTGTTATATTTATTTTTACTTTAAAATATCCCTGAAGATGCTTTCCGGAGGAAATCAAAATATTGGATAAATAAAAAAGGAAAAATTCAAAAATAAAAAAACATAGTTTTTCAATGATTTTAAACAAAGCAATTATCCAAATAAGTAAAATCTCTAAATTTTCCCGTATTTTTTTTTTTTTTTTTGTTCAGGATGGTACTCTCTATGTGCACAACGATGACGCCCTATTGGACACCGTCAGCTACTGTCTGTCACCCTATCGTTACAATGGATCAAATGAATATGTTCTAGTGGCCCTGAGTTGCCCCATCAAAAATGAGGAATCATTTGCAGTCACTTTCAACACTTACGGTAATGTACAGCGTATTCCGCATAATATTCTAGATTTTTTAAATAAAATTATTATTTTCAATTAAATTAAATTAAATCAATTAATTAATTCAATTAATAAATTAATTTCATGCTACATCATCAATAGCCATGGCAATATCCGTGATATTTTTAGCACCAACTGTGCTCATCTATATATTTGTACCGGAATTGAGAGGCAACTTGAGAGGCAAACTACTTATCTGCTATTTAATCTCGCTGATTGGTGGTTATTCCATAATTAGCTTAATAAATATCTCGGAATATGTCTTCGAAGATATACCATGCAATATTCTTGGTGAGTGTTTGAGAGCTAGAGATCCATTTCAAAATATTTTTGTTTTATTCAAATGGAAATAGTAACATGACTGTACTGAAATCGGTACATATATGTGTGTGTAAATGATTCGGATAAGTTATTGTGAACGATTCAAAAATGTTTTTACATTTAAAATCCACGGCTAATTGCTTAATTGGTTCACTATGGGCAATTGCGCATTTCCTTTGGGGATCGGGCAGTGAACTTTGCGTATAAGATTTTATATTTTGCTTTCGAAAAATCTGCGACTTGAAAAATAACGTTCACAAAATCTTAAAAAAAATTTATGAAAAAACAGTATTGATAGATAAGTATTTTTTTGGAAAATACTCTATCAAAATCCACAGTTGGTATACAAATGGGCTTTGGAAAATATTATTTAAAACCAGTAAAGAAAGTCTTAAAGTCGGGCGGGGCCGACTTTATGATACCCTACATCACTTTGCTGATTTAGTAGAGCTCCACATAACAATTAAAAGTTTTTATGGGAGAATCCAATCATACACGCTATGATTATAATTATAATTTAAAGTTCAAAGGACTAAATATGCCGAAGCATTTGTGTCTTTTAAATTTGGACTTGTTTTGCCCAATTGGTGCACAATTAATTTGAAATCGGATAAAAATATATATGGGAGCTATATCCAAATCGAAACCGATCTCGATAAAATTTGGCAAAGATATTTCTGAGCTGTATTTCATATATTTCCCTGAAGTGCATATTACGGAGTGCATATTACGGCTGTGGGTAACAAATACAACAAATCGGATGAACAATATATATGGGAGCTATAGCTATATCTGAACCGATCTTCACCAAATTTGACATACTAGCTTCTAGACTCAGTTCGGTCGTAAGTTCCAAATTTCATCCAATTTGGGCAAATATTAGACGTTTGGTGCACAATCAAAGGTAAATCGGACGAAGTTATATATGGGAGCTATACCCAAATCTGAACCGATCTCGATAAAACTTATCAAATGTATTTCTGAGCTGTATTTGATATATTTCCCCAAATATTGTTGTTACAGAGTGCATATTACGGCTGCGAACGACAAAAATAGCAAATCGGATGAAAAATATATATGGGAGCTATAGCTATATCTGAACCGATTTCGATCTAATTTGGCATACTTATTTTCAGGCTTAATTTGGTTATATGTGCAAAATTCCATACTATTCGGGCTGATATTACACGTTTGGTGCAAAATAAAAGGCAAATCGGACGAAGATATATATGGGAGCTATATCTAAATTTTGACCGATTATCTCCAATTTCAATAGGGTTCGTCCTTGGGCCAAACAAATGATTTGTGCCAAATTTCATCTGGATAGGGCAATAAATGCGATCAGTACTTTGTTTACAACAATACGTGGACAGACGCACGGACGGACAGACGGACGGACGGACATGCATAAATCGACTCAGAATGTGATTCTATACAGATCATCAAAAGGAACTATGGGTCTATCTTGTTTCCTTTTGCCTGTTACAAACAAATGCACAAAGACATAATACCCTGACCACCTTGGGGTGTAGGGTATAAAAATCACAATTTGAAGACATATGACCTTTGAAAACTAGCCAGTGGGTCTTTGTACAGTAGTCTTGCAAAAAAATCATGATTGGGTGTCAGATGATCTCTGAAAGATATTATCAAATTCACGATTTAAGATAAGCGGTTTGAGATCAGTTTTGTTTTGAAAATGATTCTTGGGAACTACTCTTTAAAAATTCCAAGATGAGCTTTGAAAATATTTTTTTTTAAAAAGTAAAAGGATCAAAATAAGATTATCCTTTCTCTTTCTGTGCCGTTAAATTTTTTTTTTTTGTAAATTTTGACCTCTTCTGGGGGAGGTACCAGAAGGTGTGGACCGATATTGTCTATTTTCGGAGTTGGGATTTATGATTTCGCATAAAATAGGGTATAAATGTTCGACTTTCTATTAATTTTGCTCATACCAATATATTTATCTGTATTAGATGAAGTATGTGAAAATACATCGGTCGACTATACAGGGTGAGATGAAAAAACTGCAACCAACTTCAGACTGCTGTCATTTCTAAGCCACTCGTCCGACAGCTTTTAAAATGATTCCAGTGATAGCTCATTATATTGTTTACAAGCCTACAAAAGCATTTTGGTGAGAATTTTCCAGAATAAAAAAATTATTCGTGATAGAATTCAAACGTGGTAGTGTGATTTCCATGCGGAAAATATTGAAAAATGGACTCGGGGTAAAGCCATTGAAATTCCAAAAAGTGCAAGAACTTAGACCGCGACAGAAAGAAAATAGACTCAAAAGAGCTAAAGAGTTGAAGTAGTGAACTGCCGAATTTGGCTTTCTCCGATGAGAAAACATTCGTTGTCCAGCAGTTTGTAAACAAACAGAATGATCGTGTTTACTTCTCAAAGAGGTCAGCTGCTCAAGCGCCGGCCATGGTGATGGTGTGGGCCGCCATAACAGCCGATGGTCGCTCTCCACTCGTATTAATCGATCGTGGCATCAGAATAAATGCCGAATATGATCGTGAAAATATTCTGAAGGGTGTATTAAAGCCTTGACCACGCAAACATTTTGGCCGCAGACCTTGGACATTCCAACAGCACCATCAGCAACATCGCACTCAGCACGCGCCACCAAAAATGGTTACAAAATGTGGTTCCTCGCTTCATTTCCAGCTCACAATGGGCACCAAAATCTCCGGATACCAATCCGTTGGACTATTTTGTCTCGACTATTTTGGAAATCAAGGTTGGCACTAAATAATAACAAAGTGTCTATCACCTCAAGCAAGCGTTTCGCCGGGAAATGGGCCCAAAATACCGCAGAGCAACATTGGCCGTTTGAAGGCCATAATTCGTGCCAAAGATGACCAATTCGAACAAATCTAAACTTATTCTAAAATTTGACGCTATTTACGACATTTTTTGCTTCCATTAAATAAAATTTGAAAAAAAAATGTAAAAATTATGGCGTTTGACTTTGTTGCAGTTTTTTTGTTGATCTCACCCTTTATAGTGTAATAGCAAAAAATCCTGGAAATATGTTTAGTAAAACAAATTTAGCCTAAGTCGCGTCACTAAATGAATCTTTCAGTTATTTTTTTTTTTCAAAAACGTTAAAAAATTCCATTAAAATGTGATCGTTCGTATCAAGTCCAAATATATTACGAAATTTTTTTATTCTTAACTTGAATTCCATGGAATCCTAAAACGATTAAATTAAAAAAAAATAAATAACAAGTAAAAAAGCAGCAGCCGGGCCGAACTTTGAATACCCTCCACTATTTGGAACGGATTAGAAAATTTTCAAAAAAATAAAATCCATTAAAAATTCTTTTAAAATTTTTAAAATATCTAATATAGGAAGATGCCGATATATGGGGGGATATACGATATTGTGGACCTATATAGACAATTCCGTTTCAGGGGTAAAGTGCTCACAAAGAACTCCGTGTGTGGATTGGAAAATCATCAAAATACCGAATATCGTGGGGTACCACAAAGAACCCCTTGTGACCATTCCGTTCAAAAATGTGGCTAAAAACATCAAAATGCCGAATATCGGGGGTACCGTTATATGAGGGCTATACGATATCGTGGACCTATATAGATAATTCTCTGTCGAGGTATATAGTACCCACAAGGAACTACTTGTGTGGATTTTCAGACAATTCCGATGAAAAATGTGGGTAGAATCATAAAAATATCGGGGGGTACCGTTATATTAGGGATATACGATATCGTGGACCTATATAGACAATTCTTTTTGAGGGGGTAAAATGCCCATAAGGGACTCCTTTTGTGAAATTTCAGACCATTCCATTGAAAAATGTGGATAAAATCATCAAAATACCGAATATCGGGGGTACCGTTATATGGGGGCTATACGATATCGTGGATCTATATAGATAATTCTCTGCCGGGGTATAAAGTACCCACAAGGAACTCCTTGTGTGGATTTTCAGACAATTCCGTTGAAAAATGTGGGTAAAACCATCAAAATACCGAATATCGGGGGGTACCGTTATATGGGGGATATACGATATCGTGGACCGATATAGCCCATCTTCGAACTAGACCTGCCTGCAGACAAAAGAGAGATCTGTGCAAAATTTTAGCTTCCTATCTTACCTCGTTTAGACTGTAGCGTGATTACAACAGACGGACAGACGGACGGACGGACAGGGCTAAACCGTCTTAGAATTTTACGCTGATCAAGAATATATTTACTTTGTTGGGTCTGACATGAGTATTTCGAGGAGTTACAAACGGAATGACAAAATTAATATACCCCCCCATAGTATGGTGGAGGGTATAAAAATCGGTGGATGTTCCCCTCCCTACTTTGCTTACCAAACGATGTAAACATTGAAAACACCGATACATTTTTAGCTTTTCTTCCAAAATCTTTTCGGAATGTAATGTAATTTTGGAAAACATTCATTTTAAGCTTTAAAAAATAACTTTGAGTACCATTCTTTAAAAATAATTGAATTGCTCTTGACCAGGTTTTACATGCTACTTCTCCTTTATGTCGGCATTCCTGTGGCTAAGTGTTCTATGCTTCGATATCTGGCTTAATTTCAAGGATCACAGCGTGGACTTTTCAAGACAACGACATAAGTTGCGTTTCCTTTTTTATTCGTTGTATGTTTGGGGTACAGCCACTTTGCTCATGGGCCTAACAATGTGGGCGCAGTGGTCTGATTTGGTCCCAAAGATTTACAAACCAGGAATTGGGGATGATATCTGTTGGTTGGATAGTAAGTGGAACTCTAATAAAAAAAAACAAACACAATTAAAATGATCTACCCTTTTAGCCAACAAGTGGTCGACCGCCCTGTATTTCTATGGACCGAATTTATTGATAATTCTCTTCAATGTTGGCACCTTTACCATCTTATCGTTGCGTATCTATCGCATTCGCAGTGATGTGGCCAAGTTGACACAAAAACAAATGTTCTTCAAAGAAAAGTAAGCGTCTAAGGATAACGTGTACAAAAATTCAATAATGCACTTCAACAACAGGTATCTGCTCTCAATCAATTTCAGTGGCGTCGTAATTCTACGCCTATTCATTGTAATGGGCATCAGCTGGATAATGGACATCATTTCGTTTTGCCTCCGTGATTATAAGATGGCCGATTATCTATTTTTCATAACGGATTTTTGCAATGCCATTCAGGGAGTTTTGATTTTCATTCTGTTCGTCTTGAAACGCAACGTGATAGCGGCCATACGCAAGAGGTAAGGTTTCGAGTTGAAGCATAAGATCTATCTATGATCGCTAAATACTATTTTACCTTTCAGTGTCAGGCAAAAATACCACAGAAAGCCCAGGCCGAGTGTTACCTCAATATCGACACATTTCTCAAAACTTTCATCTAGTCATTCGACAAATGCCTAAATGGAACCCGATATACTCTGAAAAATGAAGTATGATTTATAGGGTTTCATAGCTGTACTTAATATATCACTTATTATCGATGTATTAGAATTTTATTGAAAAAATATGTTAACACAATTTTAAGGAAATAATAGCTTATTTTAAATATTTGTAGTGCAAAATAAAGACATATATGAATAATACCTAAAACGCGATGGAACCATTTCTTCCCCAAGGTCGTCTATGGATAATAGAAAACAAAAAGTTTCTCAGTAGACACCAGAAGGCCTGAAGCTTTTTTATTGACAATAAAATACCTCAAGGGCTGTCTTCTATGCAATAAAAGACCTCAAGATCTTCTAAACACAATAGAAGACTTCATTTAGACCTTGAGGTCTTCTATACACAACAGCAGACCTCAAGGTCCTCTATAAGCAATAAAAGACCTCAAGGTCTTCCATAGACATTACGAGATCGGAATGTTCTCTATAGGCAATAGAAGAGCTTAAGTTCTTCTATACGATCTAAAAATTTTCTACAGACAGCAATAGGCCTCAAACTCTTCTGTAGACAATAGAAGACCTCTATGTCTTCTTTAGAAAATAAAAAAATTCAAAATCTTCTACAGACAATAGAAATCAAGAACTCAAGGTCTTCTTCCATACAATAGAGGACCTCACCTTAAGGTCTTCTGCGAACAATAGAGGACCTCACCCCTGAGTCTTCTATAGACAAAAGAGGACCTCATTGTCTTCTATAGATAATTGAGAGAAGACATGATCTAGAGTCTAGACAATACAAGACATCAAAGTTTCCACTAGACACTAGAAAACCTCAAGGTCTGCTAAATATAATAGAAGACCTCAACGTCTGCTAAATACAATAGAAGACTTCTGTGGACAACAGAAGACCTATTCTATTGTCTATAGACAATAGAAGACCTCAAGGTCTTCTATAGACAATAGAAGACCTCAAAGTATTCTATAGACAATAAAAGACCTCAAAGTTCCTATGGAAGACCACAAGGTCTTCTATAGACAATAGAAGACCTCAAGGTCTTCTATAGACAATAGAAGACCTCAAGGGCTTCTATAGACAATAGAAGACCTCAAGATCTTCTATTGACAATAGAAGACCTCAAGATCTTCTATAGACAACAGAAGACCTAAAGGTCTTCTATAGACAATAAAAGACCACAAGGCCTCTATAGACAATAGAAGACCTCAAGGTCTTCTATAGACAATAGAAGACCTCAAGGTCTTCTATAGACAATAGAAGACTTCAAGGTCTTCTATAGACAATAGAAGACCTCAAGGTCTTCTATATACAATAAAAGACCTCAAGGCCTTCTATAGACAATAGAAGACCTCAAAGTATTCTATAGACAATAAAAGACCTCAAAGTATTCTATAGACAATAAAAGACCTCAAAGTTCCTATGGAAGACCACAAGGTCTTCTATAGACAATAGAAGACCTCAAGGTCTTCTATAGACAATAGAAGACCTCAAGGGCTTCTATAGACAATAGAAGACTTCAAGATCTTCTATAGGCAATAGAAGACCTCAAGGTCTTCTATAGACAATAGAAGAAGACCTCAAGGGCTTCTATAGACAATAGAAGACCTCAAGGTCTTCTATAGACAACAGAAGACCTTAAGGTCTTCTATGGACAATAGAAGACCTCTTCTATAGACAATAGAAGACCTTAAGGTCTTCCATAGACAATAGAAGACCTAAATGTCTTCTATAGACAATAGAAGAAGACCTCAAGGGCTTCTATAGACAATAGAACACCTCAAGATCTTCTATAGACCATAGAAGACCTCAAGATCTTCTATAGACCATAGAAGACCTCAAGATCTTCTATAGACCATAGAAGACCTCAAAGTTTCTATGGACAATACAAAACCTCAAGGTCTTCTATAGGCAATAGAAGACCTTAAGGTCTTCTATAGGCAATAGAAGACCTTATGGTCTTCTTTAGATAATACAAAACCTCAAGGTCTTCCATAGACAATAGAATACCTAAAGGTCTTCTATAGACAATAGAAGACCTTAAGGTCTTCTATAGGCAATAGAAGACCTTAATGTCTTCTATGGAAAATAGAAGACCTTAATGTCTTCTATAGACAATAGAAGACCTCAAGGTCTTCTATAGATAATAGAAGACCTCAAGGTCTTCTATAGTCTCGCTGTAGCCTTCAAATTGAAGACCTCAAGGTCTTCTATAGAAAATAGAAGACCTCAAGGTCTTCTATAGACAATAGAAGACCTCAAGGTCTTCTATAGGCAATAGAAGACCTAAAGGTCTTCTATATTCTATAGACAATAGAAGACCTCAAGGTCTTCTGTAGACAATAGAAGACCTCAAGGTCTTCTGTAGACAATAGAAGACCTCAAGGTCTTCTATAGACAATAGAAGACCTCAAGGTCTTCTATAGACAATAGAAGACCTCAAGGTCTTCTATAGACAATAGAAGACCTCAAGGTCTTCTATAGACAATAGAAGACCTCAAGGTCTTCTATAGACAATAGAAGACCTCAAGGTCTTCTATAGACAATAGAAGACCTCAAGGTCTTCTATAGACAATAGAAGACCTCAAGGTCTTCTATAGACAATTGAAGACCTTAAGGTCTTCTATAGAAAATAGAAGACCTCAAGGTCTTCTATAGAAAATAGAAGACCTCAAGGTCTTCTATAGAAAATAGAAGACCTCAAGGTCTTCTATAGAAAATAGAAGACCTCAAGGTCTTCTATAGAAAATAGAAGACCTCAAGGTCTTCTATAGAAAATAGAAGACCTCAAGGTCTTCTATAGAAAATAGAAGACCTCAAGGTCTTCTATAGAAAATAGAAGACCTCAAGGTCTTCTATAGACAATAGAAGACCTCAAGGTCTTCTATAGACAATAGAAGACCTCAAGGTCTTCTATAGACAATAGAAGACCTCAAGGTCTTCTATAGACAATAGAAGACCTCAAGGTCTTCTATAGACAATAGAAGACCACAAGGTCTTCTATAGACAATAGAAGACCTCAAGGTCCTCTATAGACATTAGAAGACCTCAAGGTCTTCTATAGACATTAGAAGACCTTAAGGTCTTCTATGGACAATAGAAGACCTCAAGGTCTTCTATAGACAATAGGGCGCACTAATATCAATACAAAATAACAAGTTCACTGTGGTACAGACTTTCAAAATTTCGACTACTGCAATAGATGTACAATGTCTTATGGTTTATTTCAAGTAATTTTGAACACAACACAAGGTGGATATAAATGCAGTATGACTAGTAATGGGTGTCATTGAAATGATTTAAACCACATCTCGATATAATGACCCTCCAAGAACCAAGAAAACTCTATGCTAAATTTATGTTTTGGCGTGTCCGCCGGAAGATTTGATACAATGGTTATCCTCAATGCTTTATTTTATAATCTTGAGTTCTTGGTTTTGCGGTTTTCTCAACGTTTTCGAAAGGCAGAAACTCAATTAGTCACTCTTTCAGGGATCTTTCAAAGAAATTGAAAACAGTTCTTACAAACATTTTGAAAACACAACAAGCAAACAAATTATGCGTTTACATAAATTCGGTTTACATCTGAGCATACTTATACTGGGGACTGCAACAAAGGCAACTTCATCTGAAAACCCTGGCCAAAATCTCACTGAAAAATGTCCCTATAAGGACACCGTGGATTTAAGCAATATCAAACCGTTAGATAACGGTTCCTATGTGTATCATAACACTGTTATTGAAGAACATAAATTAGCTCAATATGATTATCGCTTGGCAGCTTACAATGAGCGTAAAAACTCCGAGTTACATTGGCGTGGATGTGTCTGTGATTCGACGAAGCCGTGTGTAAAAGTTTGCTGTGAATGGGGTGAATATTTCGATGAGACCTCATATCGGTGTGAGAAAATTCCCGATCATTTGAATGTTCCGACGGAATTAACAATTATTTCAATGGATACCCCAGATCGCCTCGTGAATATATACGAACATTTTACCTATCAAGTTGGTTTGCCGTGCAAACATCCGGAAAGTCTTACCATGGAAGATGATCAATGGCATTTATTGGAGGTGGGTAATTGAGTAATGAAGTGAGATTTTTATAAATGGCAGAGATGATTCAATTGAAATTCAATTGAATGAATGTGAGCAGCCGTAATTCATTATTTTATTATTATTCATACTAACCACACAGAGACAAGAGTGCGATCCTCATACATTTTATTAAGATTTATTCAAAGGGAAACCCCCATCGTACGCAAGATACTAAAGTACTAAAAGTACTACAAATTTTGTACTTTTATAACTAGAATCTTAAAATTTGGGATGAAGGTCTCATTTTGCTGGTAAATTTGCAGTGCTAAATAATATTATGCGTTTTCTACGCTGTGTACGAAATTAGGTGTCCTTTGGACATTTGTACTAGAAAATTAGTAAAAATTATAAAAGTACTAAAATGTACTAAAAACAAGTTAAATAATATCAATAGGTGTTGCCGACAGATGTATACCCACAGCCAATGTTCGATTATTTACAGGGTGACATAAAAAAACTGCAACAAAGTGTAATGCCATAATTTTTACATTTTTTTTTAATTTTATTGAATGAAAGCAACAAATGTCTGACATAGCATAGAATTTTAAAATAACTTAGATTTAAGTAGATTTGTTCGAATTTGTCACCCATGGCACGAATTATGATCTTCAAACGGCCAATGAAACCGTCACACGCTGCCCGAATGTTGTTCTGCGGTATTTTGGCCCATTTCCGGCGAAGCGCTTGCTTGAGGTGATCGACACTTTCGTGTTTTTTAGTGCCAACCTTGCTTTCCAAAATACTCCAGACACAATAGTCCAGCGGATTGGTATCCGGAGATATTGGTGGCCTACGTGCGCTGGAAATGAAGCGAGGAATCTCATTTTGTAACCATTCTTGGGTGGCGCGTGCTGAGTGCGATGGTGCTGAGTCATGTTGGAATGTCCAAGGTCTGCGGCCAAAATGTTTGCGTGCCAAGGCTTTAATACACCCTCCAGAATATTTTCGCGATAATATTCGGCATTTATTCTGATGCCACGGTCGATTAATACAAGTGGAGAGCGACCATTAGCTGTTATGGCGACCCACACCATCACCATGGCCGGCGCTTGAGTTCTGGTGGCCGAACGAAGGTGCGCATTTTCAGCTGACTTCTTTGGCAAGTAAACACGATCATTTTGTTTGTTTACAAACTGCTGGACAAAATTCGGTAGTTCACCACTTTCGGCCAAGCAAAGCAACTGTTGTGGTGTAAGTTCGTGCACTTTTTGGAATTTCAATGGCTCACTTTTAAATATTTGCCGAATGGAATATTGCGATATGTTCAGCTCACGAGCCATATTTCGGCAACTGCGACGCGGGTTTTGATCAAGTCGCTTCCTCTTCCTTTTTTTGAATTGAATTCCGTCACGAATAACTTTTTTCTGCCGAATTCCTTTTGCTTTTCTACGCTTGTAAAGTAAAATAATTTTAACAGCTCTGAAGTTGGTTACAGTTTTTTCATCTCACCATGTAAATATATTTTGACTTCTGTTATTATTCAATTGTTGAACCTCTATGGAGTAGGTTCCGAAGGAATGGGCTAATATTGCCCATTTCGTATCGGACCGAAATATATATATATATATATATATATATATATATATATATATATATATATATATATATATATATATATATATATATATATATATATATATATATATACATATATATATATATGTATATATATATATATATATATATATATATATATATATATATTGCGACGTGCCAGGTTCGGACTATATTGGTTACTTCCTTGATAATTTTTATAATCGGCCGAAATATTCCATATTTACAATTCATCTAATACAGATAAAAATATTGGTATGAGTAAAATTACAAGAAAATCCAATATTTAAATTCAATTTTATGCGAAATCATAAATTCAATATTTATTTGAGTTTTCTGATTGAGAGAAATATTTAGATATAGAACGTTGGAAATCGCTGACTTGCTTCGCAAGTTATGACAGATAAAAGTATTGAAAATTGTGACCCTTTGTGAGTGAGGTACCAGAAGGGGTTCGCAGATATATCATCTTCACAAGAGATCTTGTGTTAGCCAAAACGACTGTATGTGTGAAATTTGAAGAGAGTTGGATGCTTATTTCGATTTCTATGAGCGGTTTGTTTTTCAAAATCTTGAACACTATGTGGGAGAGCAACTAGAAGAAATGGTCCGATCTCTACCATCTTTATAACAGTTCTCATGTTCATAAAATATTGAGATGTACCAAGTCTGAAAGGTATCGGATGTAAATTTCGCCATTTATAAGCTTCATAAATATCCAACCCATGACCCATTATGGGGGAGGAAGAGAAGAACCGATACATTCCATCTTTACAGCAGATCTTGTGTTGATGGAAATATTGAGATGTCCAAGGCTGAATGGGATCGGATATTAATTTCGCGTGTTATGAGCTTCATAAATATTCAAAATTTTGACACTTTGAGGAGGAGGTACCAGAACGAGTGGATCGATATATTCCATCTTCACACCAGACCTTGGGTTAATAAAATGATTGTGATGTGTGTAATTTGAAGACAATGGAATTTTTATATCACATTTTAAAGGAGTTATAATAATTCAACATTTTCACCTTTTGTGAAAGAGGTACTTGATAGAGTCGACCGACCCTTTGTAACCATATGGCTGAGGGTATAAAAAAAAAACTACAAAAAAAGATCTAAATATTGTACTATTAGCGCAGAATTCCAAAATTTCAATTATAAAATTTACCTGAGACTGCAAAAAATCTTAACTCTACTTTTGGGGTACGAGATGTACTAGGGGGTACCAAGATGGTCAGTGCGAAAATGGTACAAAATTGTAATTGAGTCCTTGCGTAAGTGGAGCTTGACAAAAAGTAGTAGTAATAGGTGCCAAACTTGATTTATAATTACAGAAACACCACCACCAATTGAAGCGAATTTGGAAATTTTCAAAAAAAAGTTGTTAACATCATAAAATACCTAATATTAGGGCCTATACGAAGACGTGGACCTGCATGGTCAATATTCTATCACAGGATGTAGTATCCATTAAGATCTTCCAATACTAAATTTGAAACGATTCTGGTGAATAATACCACTAAGATCATCAAATACCAAATATAGGGAGGTACAGTTTTATGGGGGGCTATACGAAAACGTGGAACTTTTTTAAAAAGCTCTGCAGTCCAAATACACATCGGAGTTAAATTTGGTCTACTTACTTCATTTCATGCTTCCAAACCTCATCTAAATCTCAACCGTCCACACTAACAGTGATCCTAATTCCAAATTTAAAACACTATCCGTTCACCCAATGTGTTTGAATTTCTAAAAACCCATCGTTATCACACCCCCTCGCACCAACATTGAACCACATTAAAAATATCAATATTCTACTTCCTACGTTTCGCCTGTACGTCGACCACTCATTACTAGAATCTTCAATATATATATCTCAATGAAATATTTGTCATTCTCTTCTCACAGGATGGCATCTTATATATTCTCAACGATGATTCCTATCATGATACGGTTAGCTATTGTCTAACAGCATATCGTTACAATGATACAAATGCCAATGTCCTGGTGCCCATGAGCTGTCCGAAGAAAAATGAAATGACTTTTGAGCTGGCCTTTCACAGTTATGGTGAGTCTGAAGAGTCTGTGGCAAGGAATTGAAACCAAAACAAATTTAAAATATCTGTTTTCAATTATCATTTCATTTAGCCCCACTGGTGACGGTGGTATTTCTAATACCCACAGTCGGGATCTATCTCTGGCTAAAAGAGTTACGTGAAAATATGCGTGGCAAATTGTTGATATGCTATATGATTTCACTGATTATCAGTTATTGCATTTTGGGTTATATCAATCTATCGGAGGTGGTATTCGATGACAACATGTGCTGTATTTTGGGTAGGGAATACCTACATACATATGCACAGAAACTAATATTTCTTTTATAATTTTAAAGGCTTCACGTGCTACTTCTTTTTCATAGCTGCCTTCCTGTGGCTAAGCGTTTTGTGCTTTGATATTTGGATAAATTTCAAAGATACCCGCTTCCCTAGTTCAAGCAAAAATCACACACGCTTTATATGGTATTCTTGTTATGCCTGGGGCATTGCCACCCTGCTGACCAGTATGGCAATGTTATGCCAGTGGTCGGACCACATTTCCGAGGATTATAAACCGGGCATTGGTTATGATGTGTGTTGGTTGGACAGTAAGTTTGTCTGAAAATCCTGACCGGAATTTTTAATAAAATTGCTTTTTAATTTGTAGCCAACAAATGGTCCGCAGCAATTTATTTCTATTGGCCAAATTTGATCATTTTGTTATTTAGCATTGTTACCTTTACCCACTTAACGCTGAGGATTTATCGCATACGCTCCGATATGGCTCAAATGACACAGAGGAAGGAGGTGTTCAAAGAAAAGTGAGTAAAAATGTACAAGGAGAAGAACTCTTTTAGGGATAGAAGACCTTCTATCTAGAGAAGATGTCTTCTATCCATAGAAGTGGTCTCCTAACCATAGAAAAAGTGTTCCATCCACAGAAGAAGTGATAGAAGAGGTCTTCTATCCATACAAGAAGTCTGCTATGCATAGAAGAGGTCTTTTATCCATAGAAGAGGTCTTTTATCCATAGAAGAGGTCTTCTATATATAGAAGGGATATTCTATACATAGAGGGTTATTCCCTCCATAGAAGACCTCTTCTAGGGATAGAAGACCCCTTCTATGGAGAGAATAACCCTCTATGTATAGAATATCCCTTCTATGTATAGAAGACCTCTTCTATGGATAAAATACCTCTTCTATGGATAAAAGACCTCTTCTATGCATAGCAGACTTCTTGTATGGATAGAAGACCTCTTCTATCACTTCTTCTGTGGATGGAACACTTATTCTATGGGTAGGAGACCACTTCTATGGATAGAAGACATCTTCTCTAGATAGAAGACCTCGTCTATAGATAGAAGACCTCTTCTGTGGATGGAAGACTTATTCTATGGATAGGAGGCCTCTTCTATGGATAGAAGTCCTCTTCTATGGATAAAAGACATCTTCTATCAATAGAAGTCTTCCTGAAGCAACGATCTACCAAATCCTCTTCTTTTTACAATTAATACACACTTTCTTTGCAGCGCTGTTGTAATCCTGCGAGTCTTCATTATCTTGGGCCTGTCTTGGATATTGGATATTCTATCATATTTTTTACGCAACTATGAAGCCTGGGATTTTCTATCCATATTATCTGATATGCGTAGTGCTCTACAAGGACTGCTTATATTTATTTTGTTCATTTTGAAACATAATGTCTTACAGTCGATAAGGAGGAGGTATGTGTATAATTTGATTTTAAAATATTGTTAGTAGAACTTTTATATTATCCGATTTTAAAAATAGCATTTTCAGACTGCGCAACACGAACAGACCATCGATATTTTCAAGGCTGTCATTTTCGAAATCGTCTGTGACACATGGACCACAAACCGAAATGGAATATATTGAAGTAAATCCAATTGAACCAAGGGTATAATAGTTAGAAATTTGAAAAAAATTTTTAATTTTTCATGAAGCAAAAATAAATTAACAGTAATATTCGGATGAATGAATGTGTGTATGCATGTAAAATATTTTAGAGAAAGAGAAAAACCTTGCACAGCGACATCTACTCGCCAGCGGACAAGTGATAATATTATTTAGGTTTTGTCTTGGATAATTCAAACCGTTTCTGTTTACGTAAAAATTTCAAATATGATTGTGTAAAAACGACTCGAAATGATGAATGGAAAGAAAGACATATAATATAATAAGATGGCACCAAAGACATACAACTATAAAGATTGGACAAAATCAAAGACATAAAACTATAAAGATTGGATAAAATGCATATGGGCTTTAATTTTTCCATCAGGTAATAGATGGCAGGCGACATAACAGAAACGCATTGGAAATTTTTAGGAAAATTTGTTATTCCGATATCGCCGAAAAATGACGGAAATACGCGGGAAAAATATCAGTTATACAGACATGTATCGATAAAAATCAACAAAAACCCTTAAAAAGTGCCAGTTCTGTTAAATTATAATAAAAAAAATAAAAATAAATTATAATAAATTATATACATACACGAAGGGTTTGTCCTTCGGATTTATTTATTTCATAGCAAATACCAAGCGTGCAGTAAACTGCAATCTTTGGAAGTTGAGTGGCATTTCTATTGCAATTAGTAAATTCGAGATAGCAACATATTTCGCCGTAATAAGCGTATTTCAAATCAATTGTTGTGTTGTTTTTTAGTGTTAGCCTAAGGCGTTGTGGGTCAATGGTTCTTATTAAAATCATATCCCAATCTGATCCGATTTAAATATAATTAAAAAAAAATTACTTTTACACCAAATTCCGCCACACCTTTCATATTTCATTGAAATTGGTGCGTCAAATATGTGAAATCGGCCGAGAATATATATATATATATATATATATATATATATATATATATATATATATATATATATATATATATATATATATATATATATATATATATATATATATATATATATATGGGAGCTATATCCAAATCTTAACTAATTTCCAATTAATTTGTCACATTTATTATTGTAACCAAATTCCGCCACATATTCTGAATTTCATTGAAATCGGCCGAAATATATATGTCTTTGTGTCTCTCTCGCTTTGGGTGCATCAAATATGTGAAATCGGCCGAGTATATAAATGGGAGCTATAATCACATCTGAGCGTATTTGAATATAATTTGTCAAATTTATTTTTGTACCAAATTTAGCCACTCATGCCGAATTTCATTGGAATCGGAAATACGTATCGTGTTTTGTGCATCAAATATGTGAAATCTTCGGAAAATATATATGGGAGCTATATCCAAATCTGAACCGATTTCGATTTAATTTGACAAATTCATTTTGGCTCCCAATTCCGTTACTTATTTTAAATTTCATTACAATTGGAAATACATATCGTGTTTGGTCCACCAAATACATGAAATAGGCCGAAAATATATATGTAAATCTGAACCGATTTCAATATAATTTGGGAAATAAATTTTTTAGATAAAATCTATCATACGTTTCAAATTTCATTGAAATTGGGGATACATAGCGTGTTTGGTGCATCAAATGCTTGAAATCGGCCGAAAATGTATATGGGAGCTATATCCAAATCTGAACCGATTTCAATTTAATTTGACAAATTTATTTTCGGATCAAATCCTGTCACACATTCCAAATTTCATTGGAATCAAACATTCATATTGTGTTTGAGGCATCAAATGAACAAAATCGGTCGAAAATATATATGGGAGCTATATCCAAATCTGAACCGATTACAATATAATTTGGCAAACTTATTTTTGTTCCAAATTCCGTTATGTATTCCAAATTTGGAGACTGTATCTTCAACCAATCAATAGATATATGCATATAAAATCTAAATTTTTGGGTGGTACCTCCGAGGTACCTCCACGTATTTGTATTCGTTTGTCTTAACACATCACAATATTTTTATTGACCTGTGAAGATGGAATATATCGGTCCGCACCTTCTGATGTTCATTAATCGTGAAATTAACATCCGATTCCAGACAGATTTGGCACATCTCAATATTTCTATCAATACAAGATCTATTGGTAGAGGTCGGAATATTTCTTCTGGTACCTCCCCCACAAAGGACAAAATTTTTAATAACCAAAACGATAAAAAAAATCGGAATAAGCCTGTGTTTCTCTTCATACTTCACATATCACATTAGTTCTACTAAAACAAGAACGGCTGTGAAGGTGGGATAAATCGGTCCACTCCTTGTGGTACCTCCCCCACAAGTTTCAAAATTTTGAATATACAAGAAGCTCATTGAAAACGCGAAATTAACATCCGATTCTCTTCAGACTTGGTATATCTCAATACAAGATCTGTTATAAAGATGGTAGAGATCGGGCCATATCTTCTGGTACCTCCCCCACATAGGCTTCAAGATTTTGAAAAACAAAACGCTCAAAGGAAGGGAAATTAGCATCCAACTCTCTTCAAATTTCACACACACACATTATTGCGAATCCATTCTGGTACCTCAATACTTTTATCTGTAATAACTTCCGAAACAAGTCAGAGATTCTCTATCTAATTTTTTTCTCTACCAAAAATCTAAGATGAATATGGGATTTATGATTTCACATAAAATTGGTTATAAATGTTCGATTTTCCTTAAGTTTTGCCCATACAAATTTTTTATCCGTATGAGACGGAGTATGAGCTAGTAAAAAAGCAGCTAAGTTCGGCCGGGTCGGGCCTTTTAATACCCTCCACTATTTGGAAGGAACTTGAACAATAGAAAACAAATTCCGAAAACTACCACTTAAATAAAAACCGTTAGATGGGAATTATGCGAAGACGTGGACCTGCGTACAAAAATCTTTGTCATAAACTGTAGTACCCATTACGAACTTCAAATACCAAATTTGGAACAATTCTGCCGAAAATTTCGCTAAGATCATGAAAATACAAAATATCGGGAGGTACCGTTATATCGAGGCTGTACGAAAACGTGGACCGACATGGCCCATTGACGAACTTATCCTGCCTACTGGTACACTATGCATCTATGCAAAATTTTAGCCTTCCATCACTATTCGTTCGAAAGATGGCGTGATTACAACACAGACGGACATAGCAAGATATATATATATATATATATATATATATATATATATATATATATATATATATATATATATATATATATATATATATATATATATATTGCCTATTATGAATATTTCGAACGCAAGTGATTGCGTGCCCAAGGCATAATACCCCCTACAGAATATTTTCGCGATAATATTCGACATTTATTCAGATTCCGCGGTCTATTAATAAGAGCGGAGAGCGGCCATCGGCTGTTATGGCGACCCACACCATCACCATGGCCGGCGTTTGAGTTCCGGTGGCCAACCGAAGGTGCACCTTTTCAGCTAACCTCTTTGGCAAGTAAATACGATCATTTAGTTTATTTACAAACTGTTGTCCAGCAGTTTACTCATCGGATAAAACCAAAATCGACAGTTCACCACTTTCGGCAAAGCGAAACAACTCTTTAGCTCTTTTGAGTCTATTTTCTTTCTGTTGCGGTGTAAATTCTTGCACTTTTTTCGAATTTCAATGGCTTTACCCCGATCTACTTTTTCAATATTTGCCTCACAAGCCATTTTTCGGCCACAGCGGCGCGGGCTTCGATCAAGTCGCTTCTTTACTTTTCGAGCCATTTCTGCTGATGTCCACTTCCTTGACGTCGGGCTACGCTACCAGTATCACGGTAACACAAAAGATTTATTCATATTTAAATGCTGGAATGCTCTAACGCAGGTGGCTTACCTGCGTATTTCCAGTTAAATATAAAGAAATCACACTATCACGCTTGAATTCCATATAGCTTTTTTCTGGATAATAGTCACCAAAATGAATAAAACTCACCAAAATTTTCTGGATAATACTCACCAAATGCACGCTTGTAAAAAATATAACGAGCTATCATTGGAATAATTTTATCAGCTGTCGGACGACTGCAGTCTGAATTTGATTGCAGTTTTTTTCAGCTAACGCTGTACAGTCCAAATCTGGTACCTCACAATATTTATATCATTTTTATTTAGATCCGATACGAAATGGACAATATTGGCCCATTCCTTCGGAACTCAGTCCATACAGGTCAACAATTTGACTAATCATACAAAAAGTCAAAATATATTTAAATAAACGAACATTGTCTGGGAGTAAACATCTGTCGGCTAAATGGACTGATTCTTTTTTTAATAGTTTAATTCAACCCAGTCGGCATCCCTAAACAACTCAACACACTTCACACCAAAAACAGGTTGGATACCAGCCCCAACTAACAACAATGCAAAGACCTGTTCGATGTGGAGGAACACACGAGAACAACACCGGCGACTGTTGTTCTTCGTTGTTGTTGGAAAGCAACAGCAGCAGCAGCACTTGGAGCTGTGGACAACCAACAACTGTTGATAGTTTTGGCCGGCCAAACAACTTTTGTTTCAGTTGATGCGTAACTTTTAAAGAGGACGGTTAACGCAGAAGTTTTGCTGCGGCAGGCGATTCGGAGTGGTGTGTGCCTTATAGTGTTTCTGCTGTTGTTTTTGTATTTTTATGATAGCATTTTTGTTTATAAAAATTTTGAGAATTTGCAAATGGAGAATGAAATAAATTGCTGTTATTAAATTAACAATTGCCAAAAATAAAAGTGTTGATTGGTTATAAACAAAAGAAAGAAGAAATAAAGAAAAAAACCCAATAAAAATAAAGAGCATTGGAAATTTAAAAGGCGAGTGAAACGTAAATTCCATAACAAGAAATAGAAAAGAATTTCGAAATGTGCGTAATACCCGAATTTTGAATTTATTTATTAATAAATAATGTAATACGTTTTCAAACAAAACTTAAACATAGTTGTGAGGCAAAAAAAAAAAAAAAAAAAAAAAACAATATTTTAAGTTTATTATTTATTTGGGAATTTGATATTTTGTTTTTGTTTTAAGTTATATCTCCAGTAAAGATAGCCGTCGTCAGTCAGTGTCCCCAAAGATAATACCAACCCACCAACTGAAGAGGTGTTGTGTGTGTGGTTTCCCAAAGATATGAAAAGGCGAACAAAAACAAATAATCAAGAAAAGTTCACACTGCAAAATGATAATAAATGTTGTTGTTTAAAGTTTGTTTACTTTTTGTTGTTCCTGCTTTTGTTGGTTGCTTCAATTCAAGGGCCAGTCAGGTTGTCAATGGCGTTTCGTGGTTTATGGTTCTGTGGCTCTGTGGTTGTTTCTGATTTCTTGAATTATTCTTTTGACATTTTATCAAAGCAAAATGACCACAAAGTAAAGTGTGAAATAAAGTGACAATTCGTTGTTGTTGTAGCACTTACCTTGTTCTTGTTTATTTTTTTGTTGCCGATCGCAAAATATTGTCAACGCAGGTCACTCACTGCCATTCAAAATTGTATCAAAGTTTCGTTTTTGTCTCGTTTTACTTCTTCTTTATGTGTGTGTTCACCACAATCGTTTAAGTTTGTCAAGTCGTAAACTGAAATTTAATAAAATTAAAAATGAAATACAATAAAAACATTTAAAGAAATTTCAGCTGAAACACTTAAACGGAAATGATAATCGATCGAACGACAAAGAACAAAAAAAATACAACAAAGTTAATCAAAACCAATTGAAAGATATTAGCTTTATTTTGAACACTACACGGCAATCCAAAAAAAGAAAGAGAGAGAGAGGGGGGTTAGTTGGTGCGAAAAACAATACAGGCCAGGATTTTAAAGTCCATTGGGGAGTTGTAAAAGTTATTATTGGTGGTAAAGTTCAAACGAATTATGGACAAAATTATAAAAAAGCCGAGAAAGTAGAGCTAACAAGTTAAAAAGTATCAGTCGGGTTTGACGAAAGATGTATACCCTCCTCAGCCAAAGTTCGATTATTTAAATAGATTTTGACTTCTGTTATGATTATTTAAATTGTTGACCCTCTATGGAGTAGGTTCCGAACGAATGAGACAATATTGTCCATTTCGTATCGGACCCGAATAAATATGATATTAATATGCGACGTGCCAGGTTTGGACTATACTACTGGCTACTTCCTTCACTTTATATGAAATATGTGATTTTTTTTTTTTTTTTTGTAAAATGTTGAAATGTTTTTGAGGTACCAGATATATTCGACCGAAGTATTCCACTTTCATACTTCATCTAATACAGATAAAAATATTGGTATGTAAAATTGTTTGCGCAATCATAGATTCCTGAACATTCCATATTCATGTCAGGTTTCTTGTTGAGAGAACCAGTAAAGAAAGTCTTAAAGTCGGGCGGGGCCAACTTTATGATACCCTACACCACTTTGCTAGAGCTCCTATAAACAACTAAAAGTTTTTATGGGAGAATTCAATCATTTGGTGCACAATTAATTTGAAATCTGATAAAGATATATATGGGAGCTATATCCAAATCTGAACCGATCTCGATAAAATTTGGCAAAGATATTTCTGAGCTGTATTTGATATATTTCCCTGAATATCGTTCTTACGGAGTGCATATTACGGTTGTGGGTAACAAATATAACAAATCGAATGAATAATATATATGGAAGCTATAGCTATATCTGAACCGATCTTTACCAAATTTGACATACTAGCTTCTAGACTCAATCCGGTCGTAAGTGCAAAATTCCATCCCATTTGGAACAATTTTAGACGTTTGATGCACAATAAGAGGTAAATCGGACGAAGTTATATATGGGAGCTATATCCAAATCTGAACCGATCTCGATAAAATTTAGCAAATGTATTTCTGAACTGTATTTGATATATTTCCCCAAATATTGTTGTTGCAGAGTGCATATTACGGCGGCGGTGGACAAAAATAACAAATCGGATGAACAATATATATGGGTGCTATAGCTATATCTGAACCGATTTCGATCAAATTTGGCATATTTGGGTGTATATGCAAAATTCCATACAATTCGGGCTGATATTACACGTTTGGTGCACAATAAAAGGCAAATCGGACAAAGATATATATGGGAGCTATATCTAAATTTTGACCGATTATCTCCAATTTCAATAGGATTCGTCCTTGGGCCAAACAACTGTTTTGTGCAAAATTTCATCTGGATCGGACAATAAATGCGACCTGTACTTTGTTTACAAAAATACATGGACAGACGGACGGACGGACATGCATAAATCGACTCAGAACTATGGGTCTATCTCGTTTCCTTCTGCCTGTTACAAACAAATGCACAAAGACATAATACCCTGACCACCTTGTGGTGTGGTGGTATAAATATTTGAACATAGCAAGTTGTAGAGTATCACTGACCTGTTTTGCAAGTTACGACACATTAAAGTATTGCAAATTGTGACCTTTGGTGGGTGAGGTACCAGAAAAGGTTCGCAGATCTTCACAACAAATCTTGTTTGTGTGTGTGTGTGAAATTTGAGGAGAGTTGGATGCTTATTTCGCTTTCTTTAAGCGCTTTGTTTCTTGAACCCTATGCGGGAGAGGTGTCAGATATGATATGGTCCTATCTCTACCATCAGATCTTGTGTTGATAAAAATATTGGGATGTGCCAAGTCTGAATGGATTTGGATGTTAATATCGGGTGGGGGAGGAACCAGAAGGAGTGGACCGATACATTCCATCTTCACACCGTCGTACCTGGCCTAGCAGTGATGCAAATTTTATGATTTGCAAAGTTGGAGTAAAAAATATTAAAAATAAATATATATATATATATTTTTTTTTTGAACTTTCGACCTTTTTTTGGGGTTGTGGACCGATATTGCCAATATCCGAACTTGATCTTAGTTTGATAATAATATTATGTTTTATCAAGTTTGGACAATATCGGATACTCCATTCGAGAATTATCGTGCGTACCAGCCAGACAGACAGACAGACGGACTAGATCGACTCCAAATATCCTGAAACGGATTTGGTCCAAAGAGTCCTGTGGTCTAAAACCCTTATCTCGATGAGGCATTCCTTGGATTCCGACCATATTAAGTGTTTTCGGCAATATTAAAATATAAATATAAGAATTAGTACACAAGCCACCATATGTATTTTTTTGGCCTCTCCAAAATGTTTAAACCCTAGCCATATGGCTAAGGGTATACCATATGACTAGGGTATAAACATTTTGGAGAGGTGCGAGTTTGTAAAGAACTGAGGAATTATTTCACATATTATGAGAGTTATGGCTATTATGGGAGTGGTACCAGAAATCTGAGAAAAAATCAGACACAGATTTTACATTTGATAAGAGTTATTAGAATACAACCCTTTTAGTCCTCTTTGGACGGTGGGGTTGTCAGAGATGCAATGGCCAAGAATGTGGGGTCGGGATCCTGGGGATCAGATCCCCTCCGAAATTGTTAAATTTGTGTTTTTGGTAAATTTTTCCTAGTTGGGCTGTATTTCTGGATGCGTCACGTGATCTAAGCCGGATTTAAGTATTACTCCTCGAACTATATGACAAACATTTAGAACTGTTTAGACCCTCAGACATATTGCTACATATAACATTTGATACGGCCAAAAAGAGCCTCATCGAAATTTTAGACCCTAGGTCTCGTTGAATCAAATTCGTTTTAAGGCATTTGAAATCGATCTAGAATATATCTAACCCCACAAAAGGTCGAAATTCTCAAAAATAATATTTTACTGTACAGCAAGCGATCGAATGGTGCGATTTTTCTCCAACTTTGCAAATCCTAATATTTTCATCAGTGCTGGGTCAGGTGCAAAATAGGATAATATCGGTCCATTTCATCAAGTACCTCCCCCCAAAGGGTCAAAATTTTGAATAATTATAACTCTTGTATTATGTGATCTAACAGTCCGATTGTCTCCAAATTACACAAATCACAATCATTTTACTAACCCAAGGTCTGGTGTGAAGATGGAATATATCGGTCTACTCCTTCTGGTACCACCCCCACAAAGGTGTCCAAATTTTGAATAAGCAAAACGCATTTATTGTATGAAGTTACCTATTTCTCTAACATATTTCAAAGACCTTGTGGGCTATATTTTCTTTATTATACCCTCAATCATACGTCTAAAGAGGGTATATATCATTTGATACGGCCAAAACGTTCCCTATCCCCAAATCAGTTTCAGGAAATTTGGACTCGATCTAGCGATGTCCGTCCGTCCGTCCGTCCGTCTGGCTGGCTGGAGCGCATGATAACTCTCGTAGAGAGTATCCGATTTGATCCAAACTGGCTACATCGTTCTATTATTGTCAAACTTAGATCAAGTTCGGAAGATGGGATAGGTCGGACCACTCCTTCTGGCACCTGCCCCATTATGGGTCAAGATTTTGATTACTTATTTATCTTATGGAACACGAAATAACCATCCGATCCCCTTCAGAATTCACAAATCTGAATATTTTTTCTAACCTAAGATCTAGTGTGAAGGTGCTATGTGTCGCCTCAATCTGTCTGCTACACACCCCCTTCCACCCATCCACACTAAGGGTCAACTTTTTGAATACTCTCTACGCTAATAAAATGTAAAATAAAAATTTTAAAATTGAAGTTCATAAAACGCGATATAAGCATCCAATTTATTTTAAACTCTGCACATCTTAATATTTCTATCAACGCAAGATCGTAAGTGGAGATGGGATATATCGGACCAATAATTCTGGTACTTCTCTCATAATAGACCAAGATTTTGAAGAATAATAACTCTCAAAGTGTGCAAAGTTTGTGCATTCTAACCAATAATTTTACTAACGCAAGATCTGGTGTGAAGATGACAGGTATCCCCCACAAAGGGGCGACAATATTCAATACA